AACCAGAGACTTCATCAGCCTGAGACCAGAAGAACTAGATGGTGCCCGGCTAACACAATGACTGCTCTTACAGGACACACAACAGAGAGTCCCTGACAGATGGGAGAAAAGTGGGGTGCAGAACTCATATTCTAGTGCAAAGACCAAACTTAATGGTTTGATTGAGACTGGAGGGAGCCCGGAAGACACGGTCCCTGGACACTCTGTTAGCCCAAAACTAAAACCATTCCCAAGGCCAACTCTTCAGCGATTAGACTGGACTATGCGACATAAAATGATACTTGCGAGGAGAATGCTTCTTAGCTCAAGTAGATACATGAGACTAAATGGGCAGCTCTTGTCCAGAGGCGAGATGAGAAGGCAGAGAGGGTCAGGAGCTGGTTGAATGGACACAGGAAATCCGGGTTGGAAAGGAAGAGTGTGCTGTCACAGTATAGGGAGAGCTACTAGGGTCATGTAACAATGTATGTATAAACTTTTGTATGAGGGACTAACTTGAATTGTAAACTTTCACTTAAAGCACAACAGTAAAAAAAAGAAAAAGATTTACAGCCTTGGAAACCCTATGGGGCAGTCAGACTCTGTCCTATAGGGTCGCTGGTGAGTCGGAATTGACTTGACGGCAGTGGGTTTGGTTTTGGTTTGGTGAATTTACTGCCAACAAAAATCACAGATCTTTTCATATCATAATACAGTTGTTGCAGGTATCTTAAAACATCATTTATGCTCATTGCTACTTCAAAATTATGATAATGATTAGATCCACTGCTAGACCTTGTTATTTAATGTATTAATAGGCACATACTATTATTTTTTTAAGATTCTGAAAACTTTATTTCAATATTCCTTTGTAATCTATTGTAATCTATTTTATGCATTTAAACACACTATTCTCTGGACTATAGATTAGTTAGCAATATTGTTTCAATGTTTGAATTTCCCCACTGTGACAACTGGATTAAGGTTATGGAAGAGAATGCCTTTGTTCATAGAAGATACAGGCTAAAACATTTAGGGGTGAAGTATCAGTATATCTGTAACTAACTCTCACATAGTTCAGGAAAAAAAAACCCCACAAACATACATACATACATAAGAAGAGAAAGAGAAAAAGGAAATATGACAAAATATTTACAACTGAGCCAAAAGCTGGAAACAACTTAAGTGTACATCAACAGATGAATGGACAAATAAAATACAGTATATACATACAAGAGAATATCACTCAGCCATAAAGAACATGCTACAACATGGGTGAACCTTGAAAATATTATATGGAGTAAAATAAATCAATCACAAAAGGACAAATACTGTATGATCTCACCTACATGAAATATCTAGAATAGGCAAATGAATAGAGACCTAAGTTTTATTAGTGGCTACCAGGGGTGAGAAGGAGGGGAGAGAGAGAGTTATTATTTAGGAAGCAGTGAGTTTGTTTAAGATGCTGGAATATTTGGCAGTGATTACTGATGAATGTAACTGTTATCACTAAACTGTACATGCAAAAAACAATGAATTGGTAAATGTGTTATATATATTTTTACAACAACAAAAAAAAATAACAACTGGTTATACTGATGATCATTGTACTACTATGGCAATTTTTCTTAAAGTTTACAAAGTTGAGGGGATAGAAGAATTATTCTGAGGAGGGGCCCACCGGATTCAACAGACTCCCAAAGAGATCCAGTGCACAAAGGGTTTTAAAAATACTGCTCTAAACTCCTTACCTTTTAGCCTCATATACCCTTTCCTTTCACATACTCTATGCTACAGACAGGATCATTCACTTTTTTCACAATAATACCCCAGAGTTTCCTACTTTTGTGCCTCCTTTCACCTAGAGTGTATTCAAACCTTATCCATTATGTTTAATGCTCAACTGTTAGGGACTGAATTGTGTCCCCTAAAAATGTGTGTCAATTTGCGTAAGCCATGATTCCCAGTATCGTATGACTGTCCACCATTCTGTCATCTGATGTGATTTTCCTAGGTGTGGTAAATCCTACCTTTATGATGTTAATGAAGGGATTATTGGCAGTTATGTTACTGAGGCAGGACTCAATCTACAAGATTAGGTTGTGTCTTAAGTCAATGTCTTTTGAGCTATAAAAGAGAAGCAAGCAGAGAGACAGGAGGACCTCATGACACGAAGGAAGCAGAGCTGGGAGCAGAGCATGTCCTTTGGACCTGGAGTCCCTGGGATGAGAAGCTCCTAGACCAGGAGAAGATTGATGACAAGGACCTTTTCCAAGAACCAACAGAGAGAGAAAGCCTTCTAGCCTCCTAAACTGTGAGAGAATAAATTTCTCTTTGTTAAAGCCATCTACTTGCAGTATTTCTATTATAGCAGCATTAGATGACTAAGACATCAGCTTAATTCAAATTTACCACATCCATGAAGCTTTCCCTGATCCTATTCCAATCAAGGAAAATGTTCTCCTTTCCTCAAATTCGAAAACACACCGTTTCTAATACTATATGTGGTAATTATTACAGATTACCTTGCAGAGTATCTATGCAATACTTGAATTCTCAAAATATCAAGTATGATAGCAAGCTCTTCATGAATATTTAACAAAGGGATAGACAGATGATTACATAGATAGATGACTGTCATGCAAGATGTTCTATGTCCATCTGCTTAATCCCCTTATTGTTACTCAATACAAATACTCAAAAACACAAGAGTTAATTTTCAGATAGCCTCAAGGCCATCTTGAGACTCACATGACAAAGAGTAGCAGAATTAAAACTCCAGTGACACTTCCAAAAAGAGAAACAACGTCCACACCAGTTTCAACTTGGTCACAGATAACATTCAAAAAGAATTTGACTTCCAGTACCTGTTCTTGGTAATGAAACTCATTATCTTCAATTTTCTGAATCTCTTCAAAAATTCTGTGAGAGAAGAAAACTACAATTAGAAGCCATACTGAATTTTTTCATTAGAATCATCAGCAAGAGAGGCATAAAAATAAAGGAACTGGCCAAGTAAATAAAACCCTTAGCGTACACTCACATGTAGAAGGGTAAAGACATGGAGCCAGTAAAGAAAACTGCCTGAAAAACCATCAAGGCTGGAGTAAGCATGTCTATTGACAGCTTTAAGACTAAAAGGTATTAGGATTAACTCTTGGCTTCATTCTAAGAGTATTTATTACCTTTTTTCTGGGCCTAGCTTCTGCAGCATTTTTAAATACTGAAAGACAGTATGAGCAACCTGAAAACAAAACATTTGATTAGTCTTCTGCATGAAGTAATACCTATATAAAAGAAGAACCACTCCATTTTAATTATTTACCTCATAGAAGTGTTCAAAACCTTCATCAGTCAAGGTTATAGAAATGCTGAACACTGAATAGGTAGAATTTTGCTCAAATCCTGTCTCACCATTTCCACCAAACAGTGCAAGAGCCCAGCACCTACAGATAGGAAAAAATTAATATCTTGGGATTGATAATCTATAAACTCTTCAAATTAGCAAAATGGATTAGCTTTCTATGTAAAATTTGGAAACCTCAGCCTTTGATGCAAAGATATACTTTCCATCAGTAAGTTTAAAAGAACAAATTTTAAAAGCACAAGGCCTCCCAAGGAATTGTAGTACATGCAGGAATCACCAGACACTCCATATTTATTTGTTTAATGGAAACACTAATACATGTTAACCAAACCAAAAGAAACCTGTTGCTGCTGAGTCAATTCCAACTCACAGTGACCCTACAGAACAGGAGAGAACTGCCCTATAGGGCTTCCAAGGAGCGGATAGTGGATTCAAACTGCTGAGCTTTTGGTTAGCAGCTGCACTCTTAACCACTACGCCACCAGGGCTCCTTTTTTTTTAATACACATTACAACACAGTAAAACACTAACAGTTTTATGAAGCCATAGTAATTCTTGCTGAAATGAACAGCACAAAATATTAAGATGATGGTTGCTAGGAGGCATTTCATTTATCCCTTTCTGAAACTATCTTCCCAGGAAAAGCCTTAAAACACTTCATATATCTTCCCACTTAGAATGTCAATTGTGCTCTTCGAGACTATCAGCTAACCTATATAGCTCGTTTAGTAATAAACAAACAATGAGACTGTTTTATCTTTTCCTGACTAGAATAATCCTAAAAACCTAAAATAAGGAGAGAAGGAGCCAGAACGAAGTATTTGAAATTCTAATACAGTTCAGTACAGTAGAGGGGTTATGTACATCTCAAAACACTTCATGCTATACTGTGTAAGGCATATATGTACCTAATGTCATTAGTTTATTCTTTTATAACAACCATGTGTGCTCAGCTTTCTTTGAATGTTCTAGTATGTATCAATGTTTTAAATCACTTATTTACATTTCTCATCTATCTTTGCATGCTCAAATTAATTAGTGTATATAAAAACAAATAAGGAATTACTTTAATCCATTGTTCCTGATCCCAAAGTAAAGCTGTATTTCCAATATGTGGCTATAAGCAACATAAACGGATGCTTAAATACATTAGGAAACATTCTGCTAACATGGCTGCATAAAATGTTCACAGTCCGACTTATTATGATTTATCTGTTCAATAAAGTTTCCATTAATGTTTACATGTTTTGGAGGACGGGAGGCCACCTGAAGATTCACAGCATACTACTACTTACTATTCATTCAAATCTAAACTCTTGGTAAGAGCTAACCTTTTTATGTAATTCTGGAATCCAATAGTTTTACTTATGATTTAAAAAAAATTGTTTTTAACTACTTTCAACAGGGGCTAAAAGGTGGCTTACAAATATACAAAAATAATATGGCTATTAAAACAGTCTATGCTATTAAAATGACTATAATTAAGCATTAAATTTTATTCTAGACTTTTTGGCATCTAAAGCAAAAAGAGAAAAGAATGGCTTATATATAATAATATTATCTAATATTTTTCAAGTGTCTAAAGTAAAAGTGCTTATTAATTGAATACTTGCTTTTTTCTAAGGTAAGAAAGAATGCTGCCTTTGCCTTCATGTCCGACCAGCCAGGAGATATAGTGAAGTGGCTTCACCCTTTAAAAAAAAATTTAAGGTCAGAAACCAAAAAGTTAAGGTATAAATACACCAGAAAAATCTCACTTCTAAGACTACAATATTTAAGAATTATAAACTTACTCTCACATATCCATTTAAACAGAAAAGTATAACAATTAGCAGTAAGATAAAATCAGAAAAATATGGTAAATTTTAACTTCTTTCATTTGAAAAATGACTTCATCTGTATCTGTAAAAGCTTCCAGTATTGCATCAGGCTCTGTGGTAAATTAAAATGTCTTGCACAAAGAGTCAGAAAATCTAGGTTCTAGTTTTAGGTTTTTTTTTTTCCTTTAAGTAAATGCATGACCTTCAGTAGGAGGTGTAACCTCACTGTATCTTTCTTTTTTCCTACTCCTAGGGTTTTCATGAAGATGCAATTAACAAATGTGAAAATGTTTTATTATATAATAATAGTTCTGAGTAGTTGTATACATGTTACTCAAATCGTCTTTTTCCATTGGCTTCTGCTATAGTTTTGGAAATGCATTCCTATTAAAACAAAAGTGTACCAAAAAGTCATGTTAGGAGTCTGAACATTCTTAAATTTTAAAATTAGGTTACAAAATTCAATTCAGTAAATTCCTGAAAGTCAAGATATAATATTATGATTTCAACTATTTTAAGCAATCCCAAAAGCTCACACATTGCTAATACAGGAATTTAAGTTAACATATATACTAAGACTGGTGTAAAGGAGCAAAGAAGTTAATGAATGAACCTGATTATACAACTTATGCATCTGAAGGAAGCTAATTGTACTGCATGTAGTTAACTTTGGAGGGATAAACACTTTTTTTCTTTGTGCAAAATGACGCCCCTCCAAAAGCTAATTCACTGGGAATTCACATATATGGGGATTCCAAATGGATTTGTGATAAATGTCATGTTAAAACTAAATACAGTCCATAAAAAAAGTTAATCTGCTGGAAATATACAGAAAAGGTAACAGTCTTTTAGAGCAGAGTCATGAATTTTTTATTCTACTTTTCAATAATTTTCTAATTTTTCACAATGAGCATGAACTACTTTAGTAATCAGAGGATAAACAAAGCTTTGTTAATTAAAAAATAATAAAAAAATGCAAAAAAGGGAAGAATCATACACATAATGTAATTCCATTTCCATAAAAAAGATATTATGTGCCTTTTATTCATTATTTTAATACCTGAAGTACATATAAAAAACTATTAATGTCAGGCATATCTTTGAGGATAGGAACAAAGAAAAGGAGAAGCAGACTTTTACTTTTTACTTAATGCCATTTTCTCCTATTTTAATATTTCACAGGCATGTATTATTTTTATAGTAAAAATTTTAAACAAATAATAAATTTTTAAATGCACACGTAATAATTTTAACACATCTTAGGACACTCTAACTTACCTACACTCTTGGGGCCTCAATGTACATTAACTTTTGCCTATATTACCCTTGAACCAAAAGCAAGTAGGCAATACACATGCTGTCTGCAGTCTCACTAGAAGCATATTATTCTTGTTAACTTTGAGACTTGATTGTTTGAATATTCTAACATATAAGCGACAAGCATTTTTTACTGAGCTCAGGCAATATAGATTAATCTTTCTTTTGCTTGTATGTGTGTGCTCAGGGTTTTGTTTTGTTGATAGTCGTTTTAAAAAATAAGTTAAACTTTTATTAGTGCATTCAATTCATTAGCATTTGCTTCTAATTAGAAAAGCATTTATACAGTGTTTAATAAACTGCTTAGTCCATGCTATAGTATTCATATAAGAAAACTATACAGTTAAGGTGAAATATTTTTCTAATTTGTATAAATCTGCCCTAACTCATTCTCAACTCATAAAGTAAGTCCCTGAGATTTATCCTCCAGTCGTATGCCAGACTCAAAATTATTTAACTTTACTTTTGACGAGCTCAAACTAAATGGTTGCCACTGCCAAATAAATTAGTCAATATTATATTTTCGTACTGAAAGTACTAAAGAAAATTATCACAAAAGTTAGCATTCACACTGAGATACTTAATTTCAAAGATTCAAGTCCCAATTTACCAAATTATCTGTATTTATAAATTCAGAGCCCTCAGATTTAACCCATTTAGCATGCTTTAAAAATGTAACTCTCACTAATGAAGTAATAAACTTGCCCTTGACCTCTTACCTGTAATGTTGTTGTTGAGGGGGAAGTGCCCATGTGATGGTCAAAGCATGAATTTTTCTGATTGGAACCACTAAAAAATATTTTTCAGAAGAACAGATATAAGTGTTTCTCCATAACTTTTACTATGTTACATGAACGTGTTCTTTCTCTTTTTTAATTCAATATATTTCATTTGCCGATAAACAGGGGAAATAAATATAACGCGCCTATTATTTCAAGTTGCCAATTTCTACTTTGAATAATGTAATTTTTATAAAATTCTTTTTGATTTGGTTTCATGAGTAGTGAAAGCAGGGATTAAAGATCTATGAGAATATGTAATGCTGCCAAGGATGGATCTCTTGCAAGGATATGGGACTAGGAGTTAGGAGACCCAGAGTCTAAATCCAGCCCGACCACCATCTTACCGGATGTGCTTAAATGAACTTGAGAAAATCATTTACATTTAAATCTTTCTGAAGCTGTTTCCTTAAGGTAAAATAAGCGGGTTGGGCTAGATTATCTCTAAGATTCTTCCCAGTGCTATTATTCTATGATTCTATGGATATGAAATCCAAAGGTGGAAATAATATAACCCAAAATAAGTTGTCTCAGGGAAGAGTGAGCTTAGGTAGAATGGAGCCAGCAGAAACAGTGTGACAAAGTGACAAAGTGGTCATTGATGAAAAGGAGGAAGAGGAAAGAGACCGACAACGGAGTGAAGGAGGAGGTGGGAATACCTAGGCAATTGAGAGAAAGAAAAAAAAAAAATCTGCCATGACAAAAAGAGCAAAGACAGACAAACAGGGAGTTAAGAATGTTTCTACAATGTTCACTATGGGTAAATCTTTAAGTAAATTATAGGATACCCATGTGATGATTCATTCATGCAGTTATTACAAATATTAAATTTAAAAAAAGCAGTAGGCAAAAGTGTATATACTTTACAATATCAACGATGTTAAGAAAACATACGTATAAAATATATCTATAAAAATTAGAAGGAAATTTGCCAAAATATCTCTCTGGGTAGTAAGATTTATGGGTGATTTTTTTCCCCTTTCTTTACACATTTCTCTACTTTGAAATTTTTCTTCATTTAATACATAGTTTTTATAATGAAGTTAAAAGGAAATGATATCCAAAGTGTTTTCCTCCTTCCCTATTTTTAAAGAGCAAAATCTAGATAAAATAGAAAAGAAACAACAACAACAACAAAAAAACCCAAAGAACAAAAGGAAACAAGGGGAAACAGGGAGAAAGCATGAAACAGAATCAAATAGCAGCACAGCACCACAACTAATCAATCTGCAGTTTGTTAGCGGCCTGCTGCTATCTGTCACTAACTGGATCTCCATTGCCCATCCAGTCCATTTACAATCCAGCTGTACTTTCTGTTGTGTTTTCATTTTTAAAGAAAATTGGCAGCCTCAATTAAGTTTTAGAAAATGTGCTAAAGTTATTTCAAACAGTTTTAAACCTTTGGTTCACAAACCTCTATAAAGTTTATTAAATGCTGGTGTGTCAAATGGATCCGTTAAATGGCCAAAGTTTGGTTTCGGCAACCCACTGAAAATAAAACAAATACATTAAAATTTAATTGGCAAATGCCTTTACAAGCAGTATCTTTTGGGATATCTAACTGATAGGTATTTATAATCTATTCTGTATATTCCTAGCTGAAAAGCATTCTAGGCAACAAAGCATCAAAATCCTGAACTCCACAACCTATTCTTAACCTCAGCCCCAATAACTCAAACAGAGATAGCAGAAGTAATGAACTGAACGGACTCACCCCCAACATTTACTGCATCTATGAGCCCCATTCAATTTTAGTTCTCCTCTCGTACAAAGCCATTTCAAAAACAAAACTTGTACCAGAGATAATTTTTTTTAATCAACAAATATCTATGGAGTGATTATTAGGTATAAGGCATGATATTAAACATAAAGCACTGTCTTAGGCACTCTGGTATCTAAAAGATTTGGTCCCTCCTTCAAGGTGCTTCCAATCTGGTTGACAAATATTCTAACTTTAATATTTCTTCTAATACATAGTCAGTATAAATTAGTATTAAATACCTAGTCAGTATAAATTAGTATTAAATACCTAGAAGACTTTTTAACTTGTCTGATTAAGGAGTCAAAGTTATTAGTGAATAATATTCAAGAAAAGTTTTTAAATGCTCATCAGAGATTGACAGAGCCTAATGAATCCCTCTATTAAATACACTTCCAGTTTTATTAGTAAAGTTTCACAGTAAAACACATTCCAATCTGCCATCTGACATTTCCATCGGTCATACTCACTTTTTATTAAAAAAACTAAAAAACACAACTTTGGCAAAGCTTTATTTACTTTTCTATACGAATCCCTCTATTAAATACACTTCCAGTTTTATTAGTAAAGTTTCACAGTAAAACACATTCCAATCTGCCATCTGACATTTCCATCGGTCATACTCACTTTTTATTAAAAAAACTAAAAAACACAACTTTGGCAAAGCTTTATTTACTTTTCTATACATAAGAAGAACTGCTAATTATCAATGGAAATTTACATAAAACCAAGATAATAAGAACAAATCAGGTGTTATTAGAAATTATTCTGACATATTTGAAGTTATTTTTTCTTCCATTAATTTGAAATAAACTATGTCCTGGAATGAAGAACTAGAAAAAGTCACTAGCTTACCCACCTGATGACAGAAAAAAATCTGATTCATTTATTTTACTCAAATGCAAACTGCTAAGGGTAGGAAGAAAGACTATTGTTTCAGAATGCAATTTTTTGTGTTCTTTGTAACAAAAATGTAGCACTATTATTTTGATGAATTTGAAGTGAACAAAAAATGCCTAATAGCATTCTTAACTGGAACCCTATATACGATTTCTTATGAAATCAAATAGGCTTTTCCAGGCAATATGGAAAATTAGCCATCATCTGCAAGATTATTTCTCTGATAGGAAAGCATTCCAAGTTCCAAACAACTGACTTAGAAAACAAACTTTCAGAACACAATTTGACCCGAGGCAGGGGATACAAATATACACATCCGCCTCTCAATACAGTACTTGCCTTCATATAACAGTTTCAAACACCTTACACAGTAACAGAAAAGCTCTGGATAAATATAAGAGGAGGCATAATATTTACTGTAATTTTAAAAGCTTGTAAATTCTCAACTATTAAAATACCACTGAACCCAGGAAACCTGGGTTCTCATCTTAGTAATCACACTCAAAAGCTGTGTGAACTTTAGGCCTTAATTTCATCACCCACTTAAAAAACAAAATGAGACAAAAAAACCTTTGGAACTCATACAAGAAGTTATCTTTTAGCTCTAAAGGTGTGTGATTCATAAAAATAAATGTCTTACTTGTTTGGTATCTGAGAGAAGATTTCGGTCACCCACTTTTCCAAAGTATCCAGGGTTTCTTGAGGTGGGGGTAGATGAGAGAAAGGGAAATGTAAGGTCATTATTCAAGACAGAAATAAAATTAGCTTTCTCACAGACTTTCAGCTACAAAGCAAAGAGGTGCTTTAATTTGGGAATTATTTGCCACTCCTTAACCAGGAATGAGTAACAAGAAAAACAACAGTAGATAAGAAATCTTAAGACATAGTAAATTTTGTTAGATTCCTTTATCCTCCTTGATAAAGGTAGAAGCAGCACACAAATAATAATAGAAAGCAAAATTTAAAAAAAAACAAAAACATTTGTTTGTCATTAGACTAGTGTAAAGGGCCAAGAGATATGCCAACCACCCTCCGGCACCCATTCCAAAACTTCCTTCCTCTAGGAAGGTTTCTCCTGACTAACTTACACTACACTGACCCCTCTTCTTCATGGCATCTCATCAGGACTTTTATACTTCATTTGTTTTACATTCATTTACACTTGTTGAGGTCTTACTCCAGAAGTGTTCTTAGGTTTCATGTATATGATTTCTATCTTCCTTTGATCCCTTTTTAATTTCATAAGAAATTATTTTGAAATATCTAGTAAAACATGATACCTAAAAGAAAAATAAACCTCTTAGCTTTATCCCAGTGACTCATCTCCATCACTGGATAGTACCTGTTAAGTTCCACCAGGCACACAAGTTTCACTAATTCTCAATAAGGAAGCACCAGTGTATAAAATGCAAAATGCAAATTAGACTAAAAAATCAACTCCTGGATTTATTCTATACTATTTACATAGATATTTTACTCTTAAATGGTATAATAAATGTTAAAGCTCCAAAATGTATTGAATCTAGATTGTACAAGGTTCTCTTATCAAAAATCTAGGGCTTATGTTAAAAATTTCCAACAAGCACTAATAAGATCTTGTATTTGTCATTACAGAAGAAGAAAATGCAAAAGAAACAGAATACCCAGTTGAAGAAAAATGCATGTACATGACATGATTTAGAAACATAATAACTTAAAATTATAAATTAACATTACATAAAGAATATGGAATTCCCTATTTTAACAAATGTTGTAAAAGGAATCTATCTAAAAGCACATCTACAGTTTGAACAAAGGAATCTATCATACCATATTCATAACTTTACATTCAAGTCAACTTTGGTGGACAAATTTTGATACTAAATGCAAAAATGTTTTATACGTAAGTGCCAAGTCAGCTTTGATCTCAATTTTGACAATGTAGAGGGTAAACTTTTATATAAAGGAGAATCACATTAGGATGAGACGATTACATTTTCAAAAAGAAATGTGCAAACTATAAGGTATGTCAAAAGGAACAAGTTAGCAATAGACTGACTTTGAATAGCCTAAGGAAGTTGAAATGTTAAAAAAAAAAAAAGTACCATGGTTCCTTTTCATGAGAAAAAGTTAACATAATACTGAAGATAATGATAAAAGAAGAAAAAGAGTAGAGGTATTTATCAGTCATTTATATTTAAGATACTCTGCCATCATCACCATGACCTATCGCAATTAATCATGCTATTTTAGTGGACCTATGATGGCACAACAGCTGCTAAACAAAAGGCTGGCAGTTCGAACCAATCCAGCAGCCCTGCAGAAGAAACACCTGGCAATCTTCTTCAGTAAAGATTACAGAACCCTATGGGGAAGTTCTACTCTGTCACATGGGGTTGCTATGAGTCAGATTTAACTCAACGGCACCTCACAATAACAGCGTGTAAGGATGTGCACGGGGTTGCCATGAGTTGGGGGCCAACTCAGCTTCAGCTAACAACAACAATATGTAAAGATGAACAGACAGACACCTTGCCCTTTAAGAGTTTATAATCAATATAGATTAAATGTAAAATCACAGATACGGAGGCAGCTGAATGTGGCTTAAAAGATCAATTCATGACCTATTAGTACATTAGTATACTCACAGACTATTCTATAGATAAGACCTATGTCTATAAGACAGACCCTGGTGGTGTAATGGTTAAGCACTCAGCTGCTAATCAAACGGCTGGTGGTTCGAACCCACCAGCAGCTCTGCAAGAGAAAATGCCTGGTGATCTGCTCCCATAAAGATTTAGACTAGAAAACTCTACCAGGTAGCTCTACTCTGTCATAAAGGGTTGCTATGAATCAGAATTGACTCAACAGCATACAACAACAACGTCAGGAAGAGAAAAACATCTATCTGAGAATCAGATAACCTTGTGCTTCCCTGAGCTCTGCCACTTGCTATGTGACCTCTCCAAATTCTCATTTTCTTTTCTTTGTATTAGGGTCAAGCACTAAAGTCAATGACAGAATACTGTAACACTGATCCAGGCAAACAAATCATAAGAAATGACTACTCTGGCATAATTCCAAGGCCCACTGTAGATAATGTTACCTTTCGACTGAACCACTAAAGTCATATAATGAGCAGAGTAGTAACACATCCAGAATTCTCTCAGTCTAGCATGTGTATCAATATTATTCCGTTTTGGCTCATGTTTGAGAGTCTCAGCATTTCCTGTAAAAAGATGAAAAAGATTATAGAAATAACTAAGTTCACTTTGTTAAAAGTAATCTACACCAACAATGCATGTTCTGCTACTACATATGACAAATGAAATAACCCAAATGACTCAAGAATATTGAACTACTGTGTAATAATAATAATAATAATAATAATAAACAAAACAAAACTTCACTAAGGTCAAGCAGCAATTCTGAAGTATATTTTAATACACAGGAATTAATTTCTGACTGGCAATACCTTAACAACAAGTAGTGCCATATTTTTACAAAAATAACGCACGCCTTCTACATTTGTTTGCCAACTGTGCCTTGCCCCTGCCAGGTATTTTCTTAAGTGCCGCTATGCCAATTTTTTTTACATGTTGCTTTAGAAAATCTTAGCCTAGCACACCTCATTAGGTTACCGTGATGATCAAATGCGATAACTAACATATAGTGTTAGCACATAACTGGAACCACAAAAGCATTCACAAAATGCTAGGTATTACTCTTGCTATTCAGGAACCCAATGTTAGAGAAACAAATACAGGCAGGCTTAACTACTAGCTACAGGAAAACCTATAAAGAAGCTACAACATACCTACCCCCTTGCTTTATGTTTTTCCACTCTTTACCAACTTTTTTACTTCCCATACAAAAACTTCTACATACATTGTTACGTGACCCTACTTGCTCTCCCCATACTGTGACAGCACACTCTCCTCCTTTCCACCCGATTCCCCATGTCCATTCAACCAGCTCCTAACCCTCTACACCATCCCATCTCACCTCTGGACAGAAGCTGCCCATTTAGTCTCTTGTATCTACTTGAGCTAAGAGGCACGCTCCTCATGAGTATCACTTTATGTCCCACAGTCCAGTCCAATCCCCGTCTGAAGAGTTGGCTTCAGAAATTATTTCAGTTCTGGGCTGATAGAGAATCCATGGCCTGTGCTTTCCAGGGTTCCTCCAGTCTCAGTCAGACCATTAAGTCTGGTCTTCTTACTAGAATTTGAGTTCTGCACCCCACCTTTCTCCTGTTCCATCTGGGACTCTCAGTTGTGTTCCCTGTCAGGGCGGTCATTGGTGGTAGCCAGGCACCATCTAGTTCTTCTGGTCTCAGGCTGATGAAGTCTGGTTTATGTGGCCCTTTCTGTCTCTTGGACTAATACTTTCCCTGTGTCTTTGGTGTTCTTCATTCCGCTTTACTCCAGATGGCTGGGACCAATTGATGTATCTTAGATGGCTGCTTGCAAGCTTTTAAGACCCCAGACGCCACTCACCAAAGCAGGATGCAGAAAATTTTCTTATTAAGCTTTGTTATGCCAACTGACCTAGATGTCCCCTGAAAGCATGGTCCCCAGACCCCTACCCCTGCTACTCTGTCCCTCAAAGTGCTTGATTGTATTCAGGAAACTTCTTAGCTTTGGTTTAGTCCAGTTGTGCTGATTTCCCCTGTAGCGTGTGCTGTCCTTCCCATCACAAAAGATAAATCTTATCTACTATCTAGTTAGTAAATAACCCTCACCGTCCCTCCCCACCCTAGTAACCATCAAAGAATGTGTTCTTCTGTGATTAAACCTTTTTTGGAGTTCTTATAATAGTGGTCTTATATAATATTTGTCCTTCTGTGACTGACTAAATTCACTCACAGTAATGACCTCCAGCTTCCTCCATGTTATGTTTCACTGCTTCATCGTTGTTCTTTTATCATTGTGTAGTATTCCATTGTGTGGACATACCATAATTTGTTTATCCATTCGTCCGCTGATGGGCACCTAGGTTGTTTCCATCTTTTTGCTATTGTGAACAGTGCTGCAATGAACATGGGTGTGCATGTATCTATTCATGTGCTGATTCTTATTTCTCTAGGATATATTCCAAGAAGCGGGATAGCTAGATCATATGGTACTTCTATTTCTAGCTTTTTAATGAAGTGCAAAATCGATTTCCAAAGCGGTTGTACCATTTTACTTTCCCACCAACAGTGTATAAGTGTTCCAGACTCTCCACAACCTCTCTAGCATTTATTATTTTGTGTTTTTTGGATTAATGCTAGCTGTGTAGGGGTGAGAAAGTATCACATTGTAGCTTTGATCTGCATTTCTCTAATGGTTAATGATCATGACAATTTCTTCATGTGTCTGTTAGCCACCTGAGTACCTTCTTTGGCGAAGTGCCTGTTCATATCCTTTGCCCACTTTTTAACTGAGTTATTTGTCTTTTTGTTGTTGAGGTTTTGCAGTATCTTGTATATTTTAGCGATTAGACACTGATCGGATTTGTCGTAGCCAAAAACTTTTTCCCCGTCTGTAGGTTGTCTTTTGACTCTTTTGGTGAAGTCTTTTAATGAGCGTTAAGTGTTTTTTAGAAGCTCCCAGTTATCTAGTCTCTCTTCTGGTGCTTGTGTATTCTTACTTATGGTTCGTATTGTGTTTATGCTATGTATTAGGGCTCCTAGTGTTGTCCCTATTTTTTCTTCCATGATCTTTATCGTTTTCGATTTTAAGTCTTTGATACATTTTGAGTTAGTTTTTGTGCATGGTGTGAGGTATGGGTATTGTTTCAGTTTTTTGCAGATGGATATCCAGTTATGCCAGCACCATTTGTTAAAGAGACTGTCTTTTCCCCAATTAACGGACTTTGGGCCTTGGTCAAATATCAGCTGCTCATAGGTGGATGAATTTACGTCTGGATTCTCAATCCTGTTCAATAGGTCTATGTAACTGTTGTTGTAACAGTAACAGGCTGTTTTGACTACTGTGGCGGTATAATAGGTTCTAAAATCAGGTAGTGTGAAGCCTCCCACTTTGTTCTTCTTCTTGAGTAATGCTTTACTTATTTGGGGCCTCTTCCCTTTCCATATGAAGTTGGTGATTGGTTTCTCCAGCTCGATAAAAAATGCCGGTGGAATTTGGATCAGGATTGCATTGTATCTGTAGATTGCTTTGGGTAGAATTGACATTTTCACAATGTTGAGTCTACCTATCCATGAGCAAAGTATGTTTTTCCACTTATGCAGGTCTCTTGGTTTCTTGCATTAGTGTTTTGTAGTTTTCACTGTATACATCTTTTACGTCTCTGGTTAGATTTATTCCTAAGTATTTTATCTTCTTAGGGGCTATTGTAAATGGTATTGATTTTGCAATTTCCTCTTCAAGGTTCTCTTTGTTGGTGTAGAGGAATCCAACTGATTTTTTGTATGTTTATCTTATATCCTGAAACTTCGCTGAAATCTTCTATTAGTTTCAGTAGCTTTCTTGTGGATTCTTTGGGGTTTTCTGTGTATAAGACCATATCATCTGCAAATAGAGATACTTTGACTTCTTCTCTACCAATTTGGATGCCATTTCTTTCTTTTTCTAGCCTAATTGCTCTGGCTAGGACCTCCAGCACAATGTTGAATAAGAGTGGTGATAAACGGCATCCTTGTCTGGTTCCTGTTCTCAAGGGGAATGCTTTCAAAGTCTCTCCATTTAGGATGATGTTGGCTGTTGGCTTTGTATAAATGCCCTTAATTATACTGAGGAATTTCTCTTCTATTCCCATTTTGTTGAGAGTTTTTATCATGAATGGGTGTTGGACTTCGTCAAACGCCTTTTCTGCATTGACTGATAAGATCATGTGGTTCTTGTCTTTGTTTTATTTATGTGCTGGATTACACTGATCGTTTTTTTAATGTTGAACCATCCCTGCATAGCTGGTATAAATCCCACTTGATCATAGTGAATTATTTTTTTGATATGCTGCTGAATTCTATTGGCTAGAATTTTGTTGAGGATTCTTGCGTCAATGTTCATGCAGGATATTGTCTGTAATTTTCTTTTTTTGTGATGTCTTTACCTGGTTTTGGTATCAGGGTTATTCTGGCTTCACAGAATGAGTTTGGGGGTACTCCATTCTTTTCTATGCTCTGAAATACCTTTAGTAGTAGTGGTGTTAACTCTTCTCTGAAAGTTTGGTAGAATTCTCCAGTGAAGCCATCCGGGCCAAGGCTTTTTTTTGTTGGGAGTTGTTTAATTACCTTTTCAATCTCTTCTTTTGTTATGGGTTTATTTAGTTGTTCTCTCTCTGTTTGTGTTAGTTTAGGTAGGTAGTGAGTTTCTAGAAATTTGTCCATTTCCTCTAGGTTTTCAAATTTGTTAGAGTACAATTTTTCAAAGTATTATGATTCCTTTAATTTCAGTTGGGTCTACTGTGATATCATCCATCTCATTTCTCATATGGGTTATCTGCTTCCTCTCCTGTCTTTCAGTTTAGCCAATGGTTTATCGATTTTGTTGATCTTTTCAAAGAACCAGCTTTTGGTCTTGTTAACTCTTTCAATTGTTTTTTTATTCTCTATTTCATTTAATTCTGCTCTAATTTTTATTATTTCCTTTCTTCTGGCACCTGAGGGCTTCTTTTGCTGCTCTTTCTACTTGTTCAAGTTGTAGGGTTAATGTTTTAATTACGGCCCTTTCTTCTTTTTGGATGTGTGCATTTATTGCTATAAACTGACCTCTGAGCACTGGTTTTTGCTGTGTCCCAAAGGTTCTGGTAGGATGTGTTTTCATTCTCGTTTGATTCTATGAATTTCTTTATTGTATTCTTAATTTCTTTTATAACCCAGTAGTTTATAAGCAAGGTGTTGTTCAGTTTCCACGTGTTTGATTTTTTTTCCTTGCTTTTTCTCTTGTTGATTTCTACTTTTATGGCTTTCTGGTCAGAAAAGATGCTTTGTAATATTTCAATGCTTTGGATTCTGTGAAGGCTTGCTTTATGGCCTAATACGTGGTCTATCTGGAGACTGTTTCACATGCGTTGGAAAAGAAAGTATACTTGGCTGCTGTTGGGTGGAGTGTTCGGTATACGTCTATGAGATAAAGTTGGCTGATTGCAGCATTTAGCTCTTCCATGTCTTTGTTGAGATTCTTTCTGGATGTTCTGTCCTTCACCCAAAGTGGTGTATTAAAGTCTCCTACCACTATTGTGGAGCTGTCTCTTTTCAGTGCTGTCAGAGTTTATGTATTTTGCAGCCCTGTCATTGGGTGCGTATTTTTTATTTTTATGTCCTCCTGGTGTACTGACCTTTTAATCATTATATAGTGTCCTTCCTTATCCTTTGTGGTAGATTTTACTTTAAAGTCTATTTTGTCAGAGATTAATAATGCCACTCCTGCTCTTTTTTGAGTGTTGTTTGCTTGATATTTTTTTCCATCCTCTGAGTTTTAGTTTCTTTGTGTCTTTAAGTCTAAGGTGTGTCTCTTGTAGGCAGCACATAGACGGATCACATTTTTGTATCCAATCTGCCACTCTCTGTCTCTTTATTGGTGCATTTAGTCCATTTACATTCAGCGTAATTATTGATAGGTGTGAGTTTAGTGCTGTCATTTTGATGTCTTTTTTGTGTGTGTTGTTCACAGTTTCTTTGTTCC